GTTACTGTAATGAGCAGCGGAATAGGCATACCTAAAAAAGAGATTGCTGATGTATGTAGTGTGACTTTACTGGACTATAGTGTAGTTCATGCCATGTTCTCAGATTTTCTTTTTCTGCTTTCTGGTGTATGTAGTTTCACAAGTATTATTTTGCTTTTCTCCATTTCATCAGTTATGTAAAGTTTCAACAAATATCTTGACATTTCATTTTTGTTTCTGGAATATTTTTTACTCTACATTATGCATACAGTTTTACAAAACTCTTTCCAAAGTCAGTAATGTTTTGAGAAGGAAAAAAACAAACACAAAAAATCCATTTCAATGACTGTCTTTATAGGGTGGTGAAAGGTTTACATTCATTCATCCCAGTTTTGAAGTGATTGACTGACTATTCATGTTTTGGCAAATGCAAAAAGGATTTTTTTTTTTTATTGTCGAAGTGTGTTTTGCACCGGTGAGCCTGTGTTATAAAAAATGTCCTAACTCTTCTGAGAACTACATAACGAGTGTTATAATGGTTTTCCTGTAAGAAATGAGCAAAAACTTGACTGAGAAAAACTGCAGACAACACATTATCTGCAGTTGGTGGGTTTACATTGAGTTTGCTTGATCTCTCTGTTATCAGGATGTGGAAGAGTGTCAAAAAGCAGAAGTATCAGTGAGGAGTTTTTTGTCACCGTCTAAATCACTGTGGTGCGTACTCCTTAACAGAGCTGTCCCATGTCTTACAGTAATAGACTGCAGAGTCTCCCTCCTCCACATTGTTGATGATCAAACGATAATCTGATGATGACTGATGAGTGGATGTGAATTTTGGAGAGGAGAACCCAGAGCCATAGGTTGGAGATCTATTGCTATGATAAAACCTCAGCACAAACTGAGGAACTCCTCCGGGAGTCTGTTTATACCACCGAGCAGACTGGTCAGTAACAGTCCCCAGGTTACAGTCCATGGTGGCTGTCTCTCCTTTCCTTACTGATACAACAGGTTTCTGTGTCACCACTGTAACACCACTCACACCTGCAAACAACAATAAGACATGGAGTCAAGAGAAACACACGGACATTAGTATATATGTGTGCAATAATAGTCAAAGTATTTACATGTTAGAGCAGTGATGAGAGCACAGAGAGTCACCAGCATGATGTCGACGTGAACTAAGAACTGAAGCACCTTTGAAGAAAAGGTGCTGGAGGAGCCATTAAATACAACTAACAGGAGGAGGAGCTGTGTCTCCTCCTTTCACCCTATTACGTCATCATAACATGGGATGGAAAAGCATACCAAGGCCTCCAGAAGCACAAAGGGAATAATACTGACAATAAAACAAAATGGGAAATAAGAACTAGACATAGCAGATCAATCCTCCTTTGCTATTTGTATTTGGGTGACACACAAGCTCAAAGAACAGGGGAGAATTTTGCAGGAAAAAATCGAATTTGTGTTTTTGTTACACATTAAAAGCAATGTAGGTCACAACAGCAAGAGACA